TAATAATTGCAAAAATACCTCTTAGCTGCTTTCTTGCACACAGAATTTAGAAATCCAGCCTTAAAATTGCTAATATTTCAATGCAGAAACTTGCTAATGTTCCCCATCTACGTCATCACGTGACCACGCCCACCACAGGAAGTGATTTGACAAGATGGCTGCAAGGCAACTTTTGACCCAAGATTTAGTACAGAAACAGTACTTTTTAATAATTTTAGCTATTTTTCCTATGATTCTCTCTTCATTACCAACTTATTCCAGGCAAAAAAGTTTTGGGGTGCAGTTACTTTAAGTCATGCAAATTACATGCAATTTTAAAATATACATGCTCTACATGTACTTATACATGTACTTAGTGCCATATCAGCTGACCATAATTATAGCTGCAGTATTTATTACACAAATGCCTAGTTGGCTGGTCCAAACAAATATCTCTCAAAAATACAATCAACACATATTTCTACAAAAATAAGTGCTTTATTTTCGTAAAAGATTTTTTAAACACTTTTTGTGAATTATTACACAACCGCAAAATCAAAATCCGAAAAATTTGCTGGCACAGTCCTAAAATTCTAATACTATAAAACTAAAATTTTCTCCCCGAACACACGATTAGAGCATTCTGTTTCTATTTAATGCCCACCTGCATTTCTCTCCTGTCAACTCCGTTAAGAAGCCATTTAGAATTATTCCTGTCCTTGAATATATACCTTCTAATGGTGAGGTGATTATCACTTCTGTGATGACTAAGAGAAAAAATTGAAGTTTTTTTTAAAAGAGAGAAATGAGACAAATTAAATAAAAAAGAACTTTGTGCATGTACATGTACACCATATCATGTACATGACTACATGTAAATAATGCCAATGGTATAAATAACTACAAATTAGTCTACATTAATAGTGGGGATTTTGGTGGCTCTTAACATTAGTACATGTACAATGTAATTCCATGATTGCAACTATTATATTGTGTATATTGGCCACATGTCACTGAGCATGATCAAAGTAAGGCTAAATGGTGAAAGTTATCATGACAATTATATTATCATCAATTTACTGCACATTGCCAAAATAAAACTCTTATAGAATTTTCCCACTACATGTACATGTATATACATGTGATACATGTAGTAGCTAGGCATAAACAACAGACCGTATAACTCAAAACTTTAGCAAATTCCGTGATTAGCTTCAGAAACACTTCACTGCTTTGGTAGGCATAAAGGGATGAGAAGGCAATTATAGATATACATGTACATGTACACGTGACAATTCAATACTATCTTACTAGGGTACAGTACATGTATATACACTGTATCCCCCTTAATATTCATAATAATTATTCTTACATTGTAATCTCAACATACCCTTCCTTTGCTGGGCCACTCTTCACAAAATCCTTCAACTACAAAATAAAACGAGGTGAGGTAATTGTCACATGACACTTGAGTGGAACACTCCCATCTTTTGCTCGTCCAAGGGCAGAGGTATTGCCACAAAGAACAAGGCATATGGCACGAACAAGACTTGATTTACCAGTAACTATAATAAATTAATTTAATGAAAAGTTCAAAAATTTGGGTCACACAAAAAAAGATAGCACCGGAAGAGGTGTGGCACACTTTCCTAGTTTTAGTTTTGTGTTATTAGGGTTGAAATTAGGGTGTAGTTTTTATTTAGCCTCACCCCCTTTCCCAGTGCCGTCTTTATGTGATCTGAAAATTTTTGAGTGTCAGTGAGGAGAGAATAAATGAGAGGTGCTCACCGTTTGGTCCAACTATTAAATTAAGTTGAAGTGATGGTTCTAGGACAATATTATCAAAAGTGCTAGTGTAAAATAAATAGTGAAGGAATATGGCATCAACTACTTGCTAGCTTAGACTTACAGGAAATTATGAAGTACTAGTTTCCTAATAGCTCCATGTCTAAAGCAGGCATCTTCACCTGGTCCTAAAAGTCGTGCTTCTGCTAGAGGTACAGGAACAAGGGACGAGTTCCTCTTCTTCCCTTTTGCGTTACCCGCCATGAACTTGCACGTGGTACCAATATAACGTCAGAAAAAATCACGTGATACAGAGTACACCCACGTTTTGCGTGAGTGTACTGTTTGTTCTTAATGATGATGATACTAAAATAATATTATTTTTGCAGCTAATGTTGTTGTTTATAGTAGATCTGTTGCTCAATGTAAAGTGTAGTTTCATGACAACAAGGTCGCAACTGCATGCATATACCAGTACTCTTGTTTGTCAATGGTCATTGCCGTACTTAACTGATTATAGATTGCCAAGTATCAAGCCATAAAGTGTGCCTTAATTTCACCATATCAACTATGGACATGTAATTGAGAGAGTGATGAGGTACACAATTTGATATTAAGATAGTTTATTTCTTTATGTTAGCTGTAGGTGTGCAAACATCATCACCATATAGGGAAACAATATCTATTCAACCCACAATCCCTCCCGATTGAGCACCTGACCAACCAGAATAGTACAACTGTGGTCTGAGGTTCTGTTGGGCCCTAGCAAGATGGAGTACTGCTTCTCCCCTTTGTTAATATTATTGATCATAGTTACACTTTCAAATTGTGAAGGTAAATGCATGTACTGGTTTCATGTATGAAATAAACTTTAATTCTTATGCTCTATGGCTACATGTAATCAAATTGTATCATCAATGAAAAATTCCAGAGTTGAAACATTATTATTACTACTATTGTTATCTCATAGTTTGTTCTAATTTATCTATACCTTTGGAAAGAAGCTACAGATATCTTACAACAGCATCAGTTGGTGAATGTATAACTTTAAATTGTATAAGAAGTGATACAGCACAGTGGAAACTGAATGGAACTGATATTAGTAATGCTACTCATTACAATATCAATACTACTAGTGGTACACTGACTATACAAGAATTGAGGAGCACTGATACTGGAAACTATACTTGTGGTTCAGGAAGCATTTCCCTTATAGTTCAAAGTAAAATAAAAATTATACTCAAATTAAGTTTATTTATTCATTTTAGTACCTGATATCGTTGTTACTGGTCAATACACTAACCTCACTGTTGGTAGTAGTGTCAGTATTAACTGTACTACAATGCCCTCCATCCCTAACAGTGTAATAAAATGGCATTCTTCATTATTAAATAGCAATAGCAATGAACTGATCATTAATCCAGTGATGCTTTCTCATACTAACCAAATATTCACTTGTGTAATGTCATCAGATTTACTGGCTATGAGTTTGACAGAGTCTATTACTATTAGTGTATTAGGTTAGTTGATCATAGTACATTAGTTATTAATGTTTATTATAGATACCAGTGTCTCATCTGTTACTGTCCAATCATTATCATCTTATGTTATTGGTGATGATGTATCAATAGTGTGTACTATTAGTCTCACTAATGCTATTGGTCCTGATGTTTCTTCACTTGTAATGAACTGGTTTAAAGATAATGAAATGATAACAGATAATATCATTATTAATGGTTCGTCATCAACATTTAATAGTACCCTCACATTAACACAGGTTTCACCAACTGATGCTGGAGTATATACTTGTAATGCATCAATCAATGGATCTAATAATGTATTATCTGATTCAAAAGATTTGTGTTTACAAGGTATATATTAATGTGCCACTTGCCGTTTATTTCTTTTAAACATCTAGTTCCATTTTACCAAAGCAATGATAAGTACACAGATCTACCACTGGGATATAGTGCAAGAATACAGTGCATGAATCTCTCTTCACTCAATGAAATTTCCATAAAATGGACTGATTCAAATGGTTCTTTTATCAGTAACAATAATACATTGATACTACCTAATGTAGTACCATCACTTCATAACACTGAATATACTTGTACTGCAGAAGTGGATACCAATCCAGTGACTTGTTTACCAGACAGCAAAATGATTACAATTTATGTTAAAAGTATAAAGTATTGATTAACAAATTAAGAATGATCCTTCTTATATTTGAAATTATATTTAGGGACATATGTGAGTTCAATTGTGATGTCTTCTCAATTATCAATCCTAATCAATTCAACAGTAAAGATTAACTGTTTCATTATTCTTAATACTTCTGTTGGTCCTGGTGTACAGCCCAATGTCACTTGGATTCATGATGTGACTGATATTACACACTATAGTTCATTAATAAGGGACTTTGAATTTGACATTCTCTTTACATCAATACTTACTATTGATTCAATACAAGTATCTGATGCTGGAGTATATCATTGTAATGCTGGGATTGATTCTAATGTAACTACTAAAAGTATCAGTGTATGTGTAGCAGGTAATGCATCAGAGAAAATTACTAATATTTATTTTGATTTCTAAGCAGTTAATGAGACACTACCATTAGTAACAGAAGAACTATCACTTGGTCAATATTATTCAGTTGATTGTATCACTGGACCAGTACCTACTGGAGTATCAGTATCCTGGCTACTTACTAATGGTTCTATTTATAGTAACAATAATACACTAATGATACCATCAATACTACCATCACATAATAATACACAATATAATTGTACAATAATGATTGAGACTAATCCTTCTGACTGTAGTACTCAATTGCAGGTCATTACCTTCAGAGTGAAAGGTAAGGGTTCAGGAAATACAATTGTAATTATAAATATGTTGTAGCTACTTATATTAATTTAGTGACTATAACACCCTCTTCAATAGTCAGTTTTACTAACTCTTCAGTACTACTGACCTGTACTATCAATCTTAATACTGGGATAGGTCCTGATACATCATTCGTTAGTCATTACTGGTATCAGTATAGCATTGATATTAGTAATAGGAGTACACAACTGATGATTAATGGTGACAGTAAGAGTCTAGTAACAACACTGAATATTACTAGTATTCAACTCTCTGATGCTGGAGTATATCAATGTGGAGCTAGTACTGATGGTAATACTAATGTTAGGAGTAATCAATCAGATTTTTGTGTTAAAGGTTAGTTTATAATGAAAATTAAAGTTTAATGAGTGTTTTCATTTAGTTCCTATCATAAATATTTATTTTGATGCTGATTTAAGACTAGGAGATGTCAAAGAGTATGACTGTACATTAGGTTATAATTATAATAAATCAGAAGTAATTGCATCATGGGATGAATATGCATCTAATAAAGTGTTTGCAAATCCTCTCATATTAACAGTGGATCAGTCAATCAACAATACAGTGTATATTTGTAATTTACTAATTATTAAAAATCCATTTAACTGTCCTTTTCAACAAGGGAATGTATCTGTTACAGTGAAAGGTATTGCCAGCAAATGATGTTTATGTGTTACCTTTTATATAGATACATTTATAATGAGACTGATGATTAATACTGTCCACCTGAACTTATCAAATACTTTTCAACATTTGGATTGTCATATTACTACTAACACTGATATTAACACTACTAACACTGATATTAACAGTATAGTTAATGTATCCTGGTATAGAGACAATGGTAATGAGAACAGACTAGTATCAGACAGTGAAGGAGTATCTATACTACCCATTGTGTCTGTTACATATACATCATTCAACAGTACATTGAGGTTCAGTCCAATAACATCATCAACTCCAGTATCAACACTTGGTAATTACACTTGTGTAGCATGGATAGGAGGACAATCAGTTAGAATTAAAACATCAAATAATGTACAAGTTACAATGAAAAGTAAGTATCATTACTAACCAATTTATTATGTTGTTTTATTTTTATAGTCAATAATTCTAGAGATGTTGTTAGTATGTCTCTATTGAATGAATATACAGCTGGAGACAGTTTTAATGCAACTTGTATGATTACTGCTCATCAATTATCACCTCCTATTGCTAGTAAAGCAACCATTAACATTATACACAACAGCAGTATCATTAGGTCAGGTGTAGCTGATATTGGTACCACTGGTAGTCACAAACGATCTTTAAACATTCCCTTTACTAATTTGAAATTATCACGATCAGGAGAATATATGTGTCACTATATTCGTAGTAATAATTCATTTGTTCAACCAAGTGATGTTAAATCAACTGCTACTGAACTAAATATTAGAAGTGAGTTACATGTGGAACATCATGATTATTTTCATGAGATGCATAATTGTAATAGTGAAATAACTAAATCACTTTTATTACTCTAGTTCCAATTGACAGTACGTCACTGGTTCTCAAACCTACAGAATCCTATTATGAAGCTGGTAATAATATTACTCTCTCTTGTAAAGTTACTAAGCCTAACTCGCCGCTGGTTGATACTGTTGTGAATATGAAATGGAGTTCTAATACAAATATTTCCCAGCAATATTCCATTCACCCGTACAGTAGCTATTTCAACCATATTCTCACTAATATAAAGCTATCTGAAGCCGGAGAATACAGTTGTACATATTATCTCAATAGTACAACTAATAATCCTTATATTGTACCAAGTGATGTCAGGACAGGAGTCACTAATGTAATTATTAGAAGTGAGTTTTGTTTAATTTTTGTTATTACCATGATCATGTGTATTTTATTGATAGTTCCTAATGGTAATAATCCATCAATTACTCCGTTGTCTTCTTATTATAATGTTGGTAACAGTATTAGCCTCATATGCTCTGTCACTTATCCACACTCTCCTCTTATTGATATTGCTACTAATGTGAACATACAATGGCTCAATTCCTCTAATCACACTCTACACTCATATACTGGTATCAATAATAATACTGAACACACTATCAGCTACACTATCAACAATGTGTCATTGTCTGATGCTGGAGAATATACTTGCCAGTACAATGTATCAAGTACTGACAGCTCATTTGTTCTATCCAGTGGATACATGACAGCTTCAACTAATGTTTCAATTCAAAGTAAGTTATTTGCATCCCTTACTATATTATTACTTTCATTTTCTCAGTTCCAAACAACAAGGTTCCAGTAATTACTCTCATTCCTCATCAGTCTGTGTATGATGCTGGTAGTGACATTACCCTCTCATGTTCTGTCACTTATCCATACTCTTCCTTCATTGATGTCGATACTAATTTGACTCTACAATGGTTCAATTCATCTAATCACACTCTTAACTCCAGTACCATTATCAATGATAATAATGGACACACTCTTACCTACACTATTAGTAATGCAAGACTATCTGATGCTGGACTGTATACTTGTTCCTTCTTCATTAATAGTGTCCCTCATATAGTTACAAGTGATACTACCATGAACTCCATCATAATTAGTATCAAAAGTAAGAAAAGGTGTTTAATAATTATTCTGCT